TGTGTGTGTGTGTTTATGTTTGTGTGTGTGTGTGTGTGTGTGTGTCAGCAGGGTTTCTGTGCAGATGGAGATAATTGGGATTGTCATTGTAAAAAGAGTAACATTTAATAACATTTTTCTTTGAATCTAAATCTTCTGAATTGTTGTCGATGCTGCAGCACCACCAGCTCGACGGCGAGCAGCTGTGACACGGATTTCTCCAAAGACGACGAGCAGCGTCTGAAGGACTACATGCAGCAGCTGAAGAACGACCGGGCGGCTGTCAAGCTGACCATGCTGGAGCTGGAGAGCGTCCACATCGACCCGCTGAGCTGCGACGTCAAACCCCGCGGAGACTCGCAGAGACTCGACCTGGAGAACGCCGTGCTCATGCAGGAGCTCATGGCCATGAAGGTGCCAGAACTCTACTGATAATACATCAACCTACTCTCAGAAAATCTGTCTTGATTGGGAACTCTTACATTAAAGCCACTTACAAAAGAGGACAAGGGAAGCAATCAAAATCAACAAGAGAGCAATGATAAGCAAGTGCTATAACAAGTCTCAGCTTAACGCAGTGCACACAGCAAGGGTTTTTTTAGTTATATAATGAATAAAAAGAAAACAGATAAAATAGAAAAAGACCCTCAGCTTTGGCCTTCGGAGCAGCGGCGCGTGTTTGAAATGTGAGACATGAGAGAAACACTGACACCAGATCAGTGCCAAACACTGGGTCTGAAAATACAGTTTCAGTGTGTGTATCAGATTCCCAAACGTTTTTGAGCAAAGTTATTATTTCAATAATTTATCAACACATTTGTATGTTCACGGTTCTCTGATGTCAGGTAATGAGCACATGATATGCGGGTGACCAAATAAAATATTTAATATTTTTTAGTACTTATTTTATTTTTATTTGTTAATTATTTTCATTTTAATTTATTTAAAATAAAATATTTAATCTTTTTTAGTGTTTTATTTTTGTTATATAAAAATTATTGTAAAGTTGTTAGTGTTTTTTTATTTGTATTTTCATTTTAATATATATATTTTTTTTTAAATTGTCTTATTTAGTAAGTGGTTTATTTGTATTATTTTTAATTTATTTTTATTTATATTCATATTTTTCCTATTTTCATAATATTTAATATTTTTAATCCATATTGATCATTTTTAAAGTGTTTAATCTATGTCAGGTAAAATATTAAATCTTTTTAGTGTTTTACTTTATTATTTTAAATAATTTAAATGTGATTTCAAATATATATTGTGCATATTTTCATGATATTTTACATCTTAGTAAGTGTTTTATTTTGATTCGTTTTTTGTTTTTTTATATATATTTAGTTTATTTTAAATAAAATATATAATCTTTTTATTTCATTAATTGTATTAACTTAATAAAATAATTGTTTTAATTAAAATAATTATTTGAATGCCATTTAAAAACATTTAATATTATTCATATTTTTCATATTCCTCTGTGTTTCATATTATTTAACTAGTGCTTTATTTTGACGTATTTTTAAAGTTATAAATTATTTATTTTAATTTAGCATTTTTATAATTTAATCTTTTAATCAACTCAGAAAGCCTGGTATATGCAATAGAGTTTTTCTCGTGTTTATATAGATTATAAGTCGATACAATATGATAAGAATGCACTAAACTTGATTGCATCAAACACACAGTCAGGGTTTGATGAGTGTGTGTTTGTGAAGCGTATCCGAGCCGTGAGATGCTCTCAGCGGTGATGTGACCTCTCAGATGAAGCTCTGTGAAATGAGCTGTAGGTCACAGATGTGTGTGTGTGTGT